GAGAGCCGCGGGGAGCCGGGGGCAGCTGTTTAGAAAATGAATGACAGCAAACCCAGAGCCTGGACAAGACCTAAAACACCACAAACCTCCTTAAATAACAGGGGAAATGGCATTTCCTAAGCCAGCAGAGACACCAGCCAGCTGTGATGAATGTTAGGTGTCAAGCCAACTGGATGAAGGGATGCCTGGAGAACCACAGAAGCAATGTTTCTGGGTGTGGCTGTGCGGGTATTTCCAGAGGAGAGTGGCGTGTGGGCCAGTGAGGAGATGACCTTCCTGTGGGCAGCACCATCCAAGCGGCTGGGGGTCAGAGAGAACAAAAAGGCAGAGAAAATGTGATTCCTTCTCCCTCCCCGAGCTGGGACTCTGTCCTCTGGCCCTGGATGTCAGAACTCCAGGCTCTCCAGCCTTTGGCCTTGGAGACTTGCCCCACAGGTTCTCAGGCCTTTGGCCTTGGACTAAGAATCACACCAGTGTTCCCCAGTTCTGGGGCTTTGGGACTGGACCGAGCCCTGTCCCGGCCACTCCTGGGTCTCCAGCTTGCAGAAAGGCTGCGGCTCCCGCAGCCTCCACAGTCGCACAAGCTGATGCTCCCGGTCGGGCCCCTCTCATCTGCCTCCACCCGGCTCCTCTGTCTCCCTGGTCTCTGGAGGGCCCTGACTAACCTACCAGCCAGTCTGGCAGGCTCCTTCTAGCCCTTAGTGCTCTGAGTGTAAGTAGGAGCTGACCAGACAAGGAGTAAGAGTCAGCTCTACCCCTGGAACCCGGGGAATCCCCGGCCCCACACGCCCTCAGCTACCCCACCAGCCTCACCCACCCTAGATCAACTAAGCTTTGTGTTCTGGGGAGAAACGGCTGCCACCCCCTTCCTGGGCAAGCCATGGGTGGAGGAACAGGGGGTGGGCAAGCAGCCACATTACGGTCTGAGGTTGCTGGGGGCCACCGAGCTCATCTGGAATGGCCAGGGTGTCCCTACTAGGCTGAGCTCATAAACAACAGAAGATGAATCTGGACGTTTGGGAAACATTCAGCAAACACCCAGAAGAAATGAAAGGGGCATTCGCTCTTCATCTCTGTGGCCAGAGAGGCCGATGCAGGGAACAGCCAACCGGACGCATCAGCCCCACCCCTCCATACCCACTCCTTGTGGTCAACAAGCTGGGAGTCCGAGAGGCCAGAGCCCAGCAGCCTCATCAAGTCCCGTCCCTTCCCCAACCCTTCCTCCCCTCTATCCACAGCAGGAACTAGACCGAAATGCCCCAGCCCAGTGGCCTCAGCAAGTCCCCTGCTTCTGCAACCCGGCTCCCCAGGTCTCTCATGTGTGGGAGTCATTCCTTGGGAAGACAGAAGGCATTCACTCCTCCATCCATTTGTCCATCCATCTATCCATAATCCACCCACCCCCATCCATCCACCCACCACACTCACCATCCATCCATGTGTCCATCCATCAGTCATTCATCCATCTATCCATCTACCTCCCCTGTGTCCACCGCAGAGAGTAGACCAAAATGCCCCGCCCCAGCAAGAGGTCCCCAGGGGTCTCGGCCAAAGGGAGGCAGGGAGGAGCTGGGCTTTTGCTTGTGTTTTGTTTTTCCAGAGTACCTGCCTGGAGGAGGAAGAGGAGGAGAAGCCAGGAGGCATCCATCAGAACCATTAGGCTCCAGACCGTGGTGAACGTTCCAGCACCCCAGCCTCCACTGGCCCCAGGCCAAACTCCACTTGGAAGTGCTGCCCATAGCTCACCCGTGGTAGGAAAAACATCCAGGGAAGGAAGAAAACACCGACAGGGAGAACATCGCTGGTGGGGCCGAGGCCGAGCCCGCCCTGGAGGGCAACTGTGGACTCCGGCTCCATTGCTCCCAAGGGCGCCAGCACCCAGCACATGGTCCCACAGGGCCCAGTCCCAAGCCAACCGTCCCAGACACACTACAGGCCATGGCCTCCAGGAGGCAAAGGGTGTGGCTCAGCTGCAGAAACGAGAAGCAGCAAGGTCCCAGAGTGGCAGGGCCCCAGGGCACATTGGGTGCTGACACCCTACACACACGGCTTGACCCGCTTCAAGGACCTTTGAGGGTGGTACTGCCACTGCCGTTTTACAAATGGGACTTAGAGAAGCTGAGTTACTTGGGTGAGGCCGCACCCAAGAGATGGCAGGGCTGGCACTCAAAGCCAGCCTACAGGGTGCAAGTCCACGTGCTCAGCCACCCGCTGTGTCTCCCAAAGGCACAGCCATTGCATCTTTTTTCTCACTCTGTCACTTGGGCTAAAAGTACAATGGCATAATCACTGCTCACTCCAGCCCTCACCTCCTGGGTTCAAGCGATTCTCCTCCCTCAGCCTCTCGAGTAGCTGGTATTACAGACGCCCACCACCACGCTAATTTTCGTTTTTTTATTAGAGACAGGTTTCGCCATGTTGGCCAGGCTGGTTTCAAACTCCTGACCTCAAATGATCTGCCTGCATCAGCCTCCCAAAATGCTGGGATTACAGGCCTGGGCCACCGCACCCAGCCCAGACATTGCATCTCAACAAATAAAGTAACAAAGAGAAAAACTGGCCGCTGCCATCTCTGCGTGAAAGTCTGGACTTGTTTCAAGCAACACCAGCGGGGGCAGCGGCAATGGTGACCTGCGCTTCATGAACACCTCCTGTGGGCCTCCCCCAGGCTCCTCAGCTCAGTTCCGGTGTCTGCACAGTGACATCACCTCCATTCCCAGCACCCCGCACCGTCACTCATGGTCCAAACCCACCGTCCATTCCTAGCTCCCCATGAGCGATGCCACAGCTTAGCCAGCACCACGCTGACCACCACGGTGAGACGTGGGCAGACCGAGGCCGGCGCGAGGAGCAACCCCTCGGAACCACAGCTGCCTCACGGGAAACCACGGACGGTGACAAGGGCCGCCCATTTGCAAACTGCTTGGCTACACGGCTGGCATGTTGACCAAGGAGAGTTTAATCCAAATTCATGTACATCTCACCTCACTGCATTCCACCTCAGCAAATTAAAAGCAAAATGAGATTACATACTGAATGCACCGCATTTTAACTGTGGGCCAAGAAGTAGGTTTGGCCACAGTTTTCCTGTATTTTTCTCTATACAGCTCTTAGAAATACCAGTTGTGTGTAAAAGTATGTGTGTACGTGTGAGACTGTGTTTGTGAATGTGTGTGATATGTCCATGTTGAGGGGTATCATGGATGTCTGTGTGAATGTGTACATGTGACTATATGTCTGCAAACGTGTGTGTGTGGGTTGTGTGTGTGGGTGTGAGCAAGGAAGATGGGTACAAGTGTGTGTATGTGTGTGTGTGGTGTGTCCATGGGTGTCTATGTAAATGTGTATGTGTCGCATGTCTGTGAATGTGCGTGTGTGTGTGGGTGGGAGTGGTATGAGGGTGAACGTGTGAGGTGGGTGAGATAGTGTGTGTTTGTGTGGTGTGTCCATACATGTCCATGTGAATGTGTATGTGTGTGTGTGTGTGTGTGTGTGTGTGTGTTCACAGGGTGAACTCCATTACCCAGAGCCCTGGGTAATGTGTGTGGCTCCATTACCCAGAGCCCTGCAGGCAAATTCATCTCTGTTTGCAAGGAGAGAGGAGAGAGTTCCACACCATTTCAAAACAAATCTGTAGGAACTGAGAAGCCACTTCCAGGAAAGCAAAGCCGCCCAGGCCGTTCAAGCCTCCCCGACTCCAGCCCAGCAGCAGGCCCCTGGACAGCAGGACCCACGGCCCTCAACAGGGCAGCCAACTCCCAGGTGGAGGGACCTCAGTGAGTCATTTAGAGACAAAAATTTATAAGACAGATGGTTACAGAGATGAGCTCACAAAGAGGTCCCTGGATCTCAGGTCTGGAGAATTCCAGGACCGAGGAAGGGAAGGGCCAGGCCCCGTGGCTCCGGGAAAACCTGGGTTCCGGAGACTGACCTGAGGCCGCGCAGCACTTCCACACGCTCCCCTCGAAACTGACTTCTCAGCATGCGCCACTACAGACGCAGAACTCCCTTTGCGCCTCACAATCAGGCGTTCACAGAACACTTCTTTAGACACCAAGTCCCTGATAATGATCCTCGAACAAACCAGGCGGTAAATTTCTGTTATTTCCCATCCACAGGTGGAAATCCACTCTCCGGGGAGTCCAGGGAGCAGCATCTCCCAGAGCGGCCAACAGCAGGCAGGGCCTGGGGCCCCTCAGCCACTGTCAGCACCTCCAGCTTCCAGCCCCCAATCACTCAAGAAGCTACCACAGCCCTGATCCCTCCATTTGAAAAGAGTAACCATGGAGATGCAAGGCTCTGGAAGGCATGTGGCCCCTGCGTCTCTCTGTATGCAGACTCACCAGGAGGCCACCACGGAGCTGCAGCCTCCCGGGGCCTTGATACCTGCCAGCTTCGGGGTCCCCACATGTGTACCAGTCCGGCTCCTGGAGGACTGGTGCCATGTGAGCCTTCCTGAGAACACAGGGACACTTCCCGTGGTCACCACTGGAGAGTCACCCCTCTATGCCCAACACCTGCCCAGAGTCAGAGACAGCTCTGCTTGACCCAGGGGCAACCAAGAGAACCCATCCACAGAGCACACAGTAGGCACCTTCCCCACCTCATCGCCCCAGCCCCTTAGGAGGCAGTGCTAACATCAGCCCATTCTCAGAGGAAGAAGGGAGATTCAGGGCAAGAGGTCAGTGCTCAGGGTCCCCTGGCTACAGCAGCCAGGCCAGGTTTGTCACACTCTGCCCTTCCCCCACCCGCCTGAATTCACAATACCTGGCCTCACCGTGACTGGAGGGAGAAAGGAGCCATCCTGCCATTCCAGCCCCGACACACAATCTGGCTTCCACGCCTTCCTGTTTGGAACACAACCTGCCTGCACCTCCCAGACAGGAGGACGCAGAAATCCACAGGCCCTGCTCTGGGGATCTGGCCCGCCTGCCACTGAGCAGGCAAATCGGCCACCACGGCTGTGCCACGGGGCCGGGAGGAAGTGACCACTCACTCACCTTTCCGAAGTCTCGCACGTCGAAGAGGTCAAAGGGGTCGAACAGCTCGCTGTTCCTTAATCCGAATTTATCGTGGCAGACTTTAAGGAAGGTCCGTATGTTCTTCAAACACAGGAACTAGAGGGAAAAAGCAAAGAATAAGGGGAAACTTACTAAAACGGTAAGGTCTGTGAAACCCACGCCAGCAACGGCAGCGTGCTCATCCGTGCAGCAGCACATCCAAGCTCGTTCCTGTTCTGTCAAAGAGGAGATGGGCTCAGAGAGGCAAAGATGCCCCCGTCCCAAGGCTGGGGGTGGGAAGCCCTGCCCAGCTCCACACCAGAGCGTGTGCCCACCACCGCCCCAGCCTCCTCACCACACAGCTGCAAAGCCCACCAAGGCCTTCATGTTCAGAAGACACACCGCTCCCCATCCCGATTGGTCAGGATGGCAAGGCAGCACCCCGGGCCCCCCATGACCATCCAACCCAGCCCTCCCAGTTTCCACCACTTGTATCTGCAGTCTATCTGGTGCAATTTTGTCCAACAGAATTTTCTGGAATGACAGAAATGTTCTATCCCTGGGTCATCCAATAGGGCAGCCACTAGACGCAGGTGCCCACCGAACACCCAAAATGTGGCTAGTCTGGCAGGCCTGGTGGCTCACACCTGCAGCCAGCACACATCAAAGCTGACAGTCAGGGCCAGAGCAGACTATGCCGGCCTTGAGTCAACCAGGACGGCTAGCGCACACTCACGTGGGCACGTGCACAGGCATGCACACACGAGGCTCCTGACAACACCAACACATCCTACTCACAGGGGACAGAGCCAACAGCCAGGGACCACCCACAGGAAGCCACGGCAGACCCAGAGAGTGGCAGGGTCCAGCCACAGCGGGGGGGGTGGCGGGAGGGGTGGAGAGACCACAAAGCCAGAATTCCCAAATCGATGCATGCTTCATTTCTTCTCTGCCCACCACCAACCAGTGGGTTCTCCCCTCACCGTGCCTCATGTGCCACGGGGGCAAGAGGCTCAGCAGGGGCAGAATGACCATTTGCCCAGTCCTCGTGGAGAAACAGTTGGGAAGGAAATTCAGGAGGCAGCAGGTGAGGTGGCCGGGAGGGCAGGCTTTGGAGTCACTCAGGGCCCAGCTGGAATCCTGCCTGCTGACTACAGCAAGGAGATCAGGGACAGTGGCTCTGCCAGGCCTGGTTTCCTACCTGCCTCACTGGGTTAATCACGTGCCCTGATGACCAGAGTGGTACTGGGGTGTGGGAGCCATCAGTCCCCCAGCCCAGCTCAGCATGGGGATTCACAAGAAAGGCTGAGGCACACACGGCCCCAGAACAACCTAGGATTGTCGTCCTCATCAATAACCGCCCCTACGTGCCCAGCTCCAAGAGAAGGACAGAGAGCCTGTCCCTGCTCACTGGAAATGTAGATAAATTGGCAGATTTTCAAATAGTGCAGGTCAGAATCAGCGCCCAAGAGCATAAACCAAGCAGCGATCCGAACGCCCTGGGAGTGCAGGGTCTCCCAGTCAGGACACAAGCCCCTGCCGGCCTCTCCCCGCCAACCCAGCAGGCAATGCCCACCCCAGCCCCTTCTGCCTCAGGCCATTCCTCCCATCTTGGCTGAGGTCGCCACTGTTCAAAGACAACAGACCCATTTGTTTTATCCTCAGTCGCTCTCTGTCCACGTGTGTGTGCGCATGCGTGTGTTTTGAACACTCCAGATTAACTGCAGACATGACACTCCTTTATCCCTAAATACCTGAGTGTGTATTTCCTAAAAACAAGAACATCCTCTTCCATAATCACAGTACCTGTGACAAAACCAGGAAATTAACATGAGTACCACACAATTAACTTAACTATAGACTGTACCTGCATTTCCTTAATATATGAAGGATAATCAAAATGTCTTTTACAGCTAAAAGGAAAAAAACTGGCCTAGGTTCCAATTTGGGACCACACAGAGTTTCCGCCGCCATGCCTCTGCAGTCTCCATTAATCCGGTACAACCTTCTCCAATAGAACTTTCTGGAATTATAGAAATGTTCTATCCATGTGCCGTCCAATAGGGCAGCCAATAGACACAGGTTCCCACTCAAAATGTGGCTAGTCCGGCAGGTGCGGTGGCTCATGCCCGTAATCTCAGCACTTTGGGAGGCCGAGGCAGGTGGGTCACCTGAGGTCAGGAGTTTGAGACCAGCCTGGGCAACACAGTGAAACCCTGTCTCTACTAAAAATACAAAAATTAGTCAGGTGTGGTGGCATGAACCTATAGTCCCAGACACTCAGGGGGCTGCAGCAAGAGAATCGCTTGAACCTGGGAGGCGGAGGCTGCAGTGAGCCGAGATTGCACCACTGCACTCCAGGCTGGGTGACAGAGCGAGACTCCATCTCCAAAAAAAGAAAAAGGGTGGCTGGTGGCTACTGAAAAACCGGATTGCTACTTTCATTTTTAAGTTAAATGTTAAAGCTACGTGTGTCTAGTAACTGGATCTAAAACACTCCATGCTCTTTGTTTTTAATGACCTGTTAATTCTGAAGAATACAGACGCAAAGGACAAATCCTGTGTGATTCCACTTTTATGAGGCCCTGGAGTCGCCAGATCCACAGAGAAAGCAGAATGGTAGGTGCCCTTGAAGGGTTGGGCAACGGGGTGTCATGGTTTCAAGGGGAACAGAGCTTCTGCTTGGGGAGATGAGAGATCTGTGGGTGGGGGCGGAGGCGCTTGCCAACAGAGTGAATGCGCTTGACGCTACTGGACTGTGCTCCGGAAAACAGCAAAGACGCCAAGTGTGATGTTACATGTATTTTACTACAATAAAAAGATTAATTAGAAGAGGGAGAGAGACGTGGAGACACAGACCCACAAGGAATACATGTGATGTGAGGCAGCCAGGAGCCAGTCACACCAAGGGTGGCCGCCACCGCCAGAAGCGTGAGAGGCCGTGGGGCGGGTTCTCCCCCGAGGCCCCACGAAGGAACTGCTGCTACTGCACACCACTGATTCCAGCTTCTGGCCTGCAGCCCTGTGAACAATAAGGCTCTGCTGCTTGAAGCCACCACGTTGATGGCACTTGGTTAGGGCAGCCCCAGACGCTGGAGCCGGGAGCCGCCTGAGGACTGGGGTGGAATGGGAGCTGCGCCCTCTCCCTCGTCCGTGCTGCTGCCCATGACGCGGCTTCCAGCCCAGCTCCACTATTTTTTGCACATGGCTTGTCTATAATTTCCACTAAATTTCATTCTTCCTCAGCCTCCCAAGTTTAGAGTTAATTACATGGGTCCCAGCCATAATCACAGTCGGCCAGACCCCGGCTTCCTTTCAGGCTCAGAATAGGGCCAGCACCCCTCTCACATGGGCCCAGCATCTGCCATGCCTGGACCGGCCCCACCCACGGCCACTCTGGCCACACTAACCTTTAAGAAGCCCTCCCAGTGCAGCTCGGGGCCCACCTCAGGTGGCCTCTGGAAAACGGAGCCACGCAGGCTGATACAGATGGCAGGGACAGGGACGGCAGAGACTGGGACAAACATGGGGACTGCTTCAGGCTCCACCTCAAGGGAGGCCACACACGGCCTGGCCTTCCTTCAGGGAGCATTTCCTGTGGGTTCTACAGTTCATCCCGTTTCCAACGAAGGGAAACTGAGACGCAGAGCGTTAAGGACTCGGGCACCCAACCAGAGGGCGGGCAGCGCCAAGCATGAAGCCATGTCGGCATTGGCCAGGGCAAAGGCCCTCTGAGAGGACAGGTCTGTGTGCAGGCACCGGGTCCCTTCTGCCGTCCCTGCTCCCCTTTCCTCAGTGGCCCAGTTTGCAAGGTCTGTGGTTGCTCTGGAGGCAAACAGAGCCCCAAGGTCCAGGTTCTAGATAGGAACTCTGACGGCTGGCAGGGAGTGGACCCAAGGCTGACACTTCTGCAGGTGCATCTCGGCCACAGGGGCCCATTGAGGACACAGGCCGAGGGACGGTGGCAAGGGAGGCCAGATGGTGGTCAGTGCCAGACGAAGTCGCCTGTCCAGGCTCAAGCTGGGTCCAGCTGTCACCTGCGGCTGCAGGAGCAAGCAACATTCTTCCCTCTCACTGACCCGACCTGGACTTCGGGACCCCCCGAAGGGCAGGTCCCAGGGCTAAGTGGGCTCTCCCCCAGGCTGGCGGCTGTGGGGTCCCCACTGTGTGTGTATTTAGGGCACTCTGAGGGGGCACGGGCAACCCCACCTCCTGCTCTCCACATCCCCAGACTGCAGGGAGGGCTCCCACCCCGGGCCCCAAGAATCCTTGTCCAGGCTCTATGGCTGCAAGGAGAGGCAGCGTGTGCTGTGCCCTGGAAACGTCAGCCCCTTTCTCTCTGGCCCATTCACTGGCAGCCACGGATCTAATCAGGCTGAAATCGGATTAGTGTGGGGACAGAGGCTCCTCGAAGAGCCGCCCACCTCCCCAGGCTCAGCTGCACTGTCCTTCAGATATTGCAAGGCACCAGGGCGAGGCGTCACAGACAGGAGAGGCAAGAGAGCCAAGATCCCAGAACCAGGACCCCAGGTCTGAGCCACAAGTGAGGCCTGAGTGCACCCTGGAGGGGAAGCTTCACCGGCCAAGCTCACATGCTCTTTAGGGTCTCCAAAACCATCTACTATGATGGGGACACAATGACAGGGCAGCCCTCTCCGCCCTGCAGAACCCACGGCAGCCCACCAAGAGCAGGGCCGCCTTCAGCCTACGTGGGACCTTACTGGCAATAGGTCGCCGACAATGCTGGAGTGGGACATGGGACAGACCTGCCCCACCCTCCAGAGCTGGCATCTACCTGGCATGCTCGTATACCTCAGCCCTGAGACGGGTCAGAAGGGGAAACTGAAGCTGGGGGAGGCAAATCCACTCGCCTGAAGTCACACGGCCAGCAGGCCTCAGCTGGGGAGTTGCAGTTTGAACATAGGTGGCTTGGGCATCAACTCCTGGGCAAGGGGGATGGAGTAAGGGCAGAGCTTGATAATGACCATAGGCAGGGTGGACAGTGACCTCCACCAACATCCAACTCACTCACCACCTGCAGAGCCTGCGAGGAGTGTGTGGGAAATGGAAAAGTTCCTTTTTACATTTTCCTTTCTTATTAAAATGTGATAACTTTG